GGGCCTCAACATGAAATCAAAATGGACCGTATTTATCAGTGTGAATTTTGCACCTCAGTGTGAATCGCTTTGTTACTCTCACTTCCTGAACCCAAAGCACAAGCTCGCATTTAAATCTAGTCAGACAATCACTTCTGCACGATGATTCTGTGAAAACACAATGTCAAGATGCACCAAACACGCACCTAAAACATTAGAATTTTCCACCATGAAGACTGAGACAACTATGAATTGGATTGAAGAGTGGTAAATAATAGATCATTTCCTGCCAGCGGTGCTTTGTGAGTGTGAAAAGTCATAAACTGTTTTGACTACATGTTGAGACAAGTCCTTGATGGGCTCATGTTGCAGTTCACTCATGCTTGTTCTAAGACTGTGAGCATGAGTAGTTTTATTAAGCTTTGCACATGATTTCTGAGATATTCATTTTACATTTCAGGGTAGAGTAAATATTTTGATAAAACTTTACAATAAGCAGTGTTTCCTTACGAAATATAACCATGGTTTTACTACAAATAAAACCAAAAAACCATGGTTACTATAGTTAAACCATGGTAACCACAAATTAACCATGGTTTGGTACACTAACCATAGTTTAACCATGGTATTTGTAGTAAAACTGTGGTTATACAAATGGTAATCAATATGCCAAAAAACCATGGTTACTATACTTTCACTGTAGTAAAACCATGGTTAATTTTCGTACGGGTTGCCAAGTCTGCGGTTTAGCCGCGGAACTGGCCTACTTTAACACTGTTGCCGCGGGTTGTTTTTCATGTCCGCGGGTTGAAGCGACTCCAATAACATGATATTTATCCCCTGGAATGCAGGAAAAAAAATAGTAGTCTAAATCGTGTGCACGATTTACTATTTCGTTCCCTCGATTTATAAATTGTGCCCACAATTTATGATTTTACGTATAATGCATTTATTTTTACCTTACTTGTTCAACAGCTCCCAAACGATTCACTCAATCATTCATTTTTCCAAACCCCTCCTTTGCATGATGCTAATCTGCTGTGATTGGTCTCAGTTTCATTTAATCTGGCCTGTGATGCCTGATAAAGCAGCGTTTGTGAACACAGTGCTGCTTTGTGTACAGTGTTACCGGGGAAAGCGTTATTTTTACCGCTCCAAAAGTTGCACCTAGTGGCAAAGAATGAATTTGCATTTTCATTCAGACCAATGCGAAAAGACCAACAAGTGGGCGGGCAATATGCTAATGTTTTATGTTGACGTCAACATGAAACGGCTTGGGATTCGACTTGTTTCAAATGATTCAGAGTCGACTCTTTCTTTTGAGAGACAACAACTTTATACACGGTGCACTTTCAGATTTAAAACTTTGCAGGATGTTTTCATTCACTTAGAGCTGTGTTACACACTGCATGAAAGGTCATTTTCAAAAATCCATGATAGGGGCACTTTAAGCAGCCTCTCTCCCTGCCCTCTTTCAGCGCTCGACCAACCCCGCTGCTCTCCACAGGTGATCGGTGTCTCTTTCCAACCAATGAAGACGCAAAACCTATTAACCCTTTAGTGGTCCAACCAGATCTTTCCAGGGACTGGGTATTGAGCTGGACTTTATCGTGAAACAAACGTTTGCTCGCTACTTTTGCCACCAGTCTCGATTTAGGTTTAATTCAAAGTGAAAGCGCAGTGGATACGCGCGCGGTGCGGCCGTCGGTGATTTTTACGCGTGGATTATCATATGATCATCGGGTTTATGAAGACGGATTTTCTGCGGCATTAATGATCCAGATCCCATTCCAAAGAAGATGATTGTAGAGTTGGACATGCGTTTACTGTATGTCCTCTTTTCCCTCCACAACTCCTTCGTATGGTTTTGGGAATCTGGTCTTGCCATGATGTTTAAGATGAATTGTCACCATCCTCCCTGGTGGAAAAACGGGTGAGTTACTCTTTTCCGACTATGTTTTTGTAGACAACTTTTTTTAATGATTAGATTGCAGCTTTAGGAGATTTTAGCTTCAGATTATGTTGTTCCCGGTGTTGGTCAAGAGCTATTGAGATGTAAATAACCTGGCAGATCTAGTGGCCTGTCGTCTCTTCTGCCGTATTAAATATTCAATCTGTACAACAAATGAACAGGAAAACGTTCAGTAATAGATTAAACACAACACAACGTCGGCTTGACTTTATTAAAGCGATTGCATTGCTGTTAAAAAGATGGACCTCTTTAAATAAGGGTTGTTCTTGAGTTGGTGCCAGGTTTTTTCCCCCTGTTGGGACCTCTGGAGTTGAACACAAATGGAGATTGTACTTTTTTCAGTGTTCATATAAGCTATGCATATTAAAATCAGAAGTGACCATATGTTTTTATAAATGTATTACTGCTAAAAATAGCTTAAACCAGCCAAAGACGTTTTATTGGTCTTGTGGTGCTGTTGACTGGTTTTAAAGGGATTTAGCTATTTTCCCCAGCTAAACCAACTGTTTGGCCAGACTGAGAGACCAGTTGAAACTAGTAAACCAGTTTAAGATGTTTGTTTTTAGCTGGAATAGATGTATTTCTGTGTTGCACAAAAAAAAAGATTGGTTGTGTTGCATGCTTTAACACAAGATATGTGTATTATTTTTCACAATATATCAATGTTTAATAGACATATGGTCTGGGTTGTAGTTGAGGCCTTGAGTATGATCTCTCCGCCTCGACTGACGAATCATCCCTTAATTAAAAACTTGACAATATGAGTAATAAGCCTGAACCTGTTCAGTGCCCTTTTTGCTGTTTTGCTGCATTTTTGCAGTTTTGGCTTAATATAAAAAAAAGTGTCTGAAAAGCTAGTAATATGACCTGAATATATTTTAAAGAAAGAAATGTTGTGGAAGATGTATTTGTATATATTAGAATTCATTTTATTTATTTTTATTAAGTATCAAGTATGCCATTATGACAGCTTACTTGTGTATGTATGTATTTATTTATTTTCCTTTTTATGTCAATTTATGTTCAAATTTGGCCTGATATTATGGCTATACCAGCATTTAACTTGTACCCTATGTGGCCATCAAATAGTCCTGACCATGCTTTTTCTAACTAACCTTTAGCACATGCTTTTTATCCAAAGTGACTTTTAAAATACTAGAACTTCATTGATTATCCCCCATGATGATGTGCCCTGCTGAAGGTCACACTCTCTTTTTAAACCTGTCTCCTTCCGTACTTGTGATTTTAAAAACTACCATCTTTAGTTTTCAGCCAAACCAGGTTTTTATAGTAGGTTTTATTGTGCTATTATAAAAAATGACAGGGTGGGATTGCTTGAAGCATAAGCATATTGTTTTTTGTTTCTTTACTTGTTATCCTCCTCAAACCTATAGTGAAAAAAACAGTTTGGCCTTTCAAGTGACCTGCTTTTCAAACTGTGTCTCAGTTTCAAGTCCTCTTCCTGCTCAGAAGCAGTTTCTGTTCATAATGTCATAGTTCAACAAGCAAATGTTTTGTGGGGTGCAGTGTGTGCCAGTATCCAATAGTTTATGACTGTTGTATAAAAACACTGCAGCACACTGCTGTATAGCTGAAGGTCATGTGTAAATATAAAACCAAAAATAATTATAATTCAAATAATAATGTTTATATATAGGCCTAATATTATATATATATATATGTATGTGTGTGTGTGTGGCTGTTTTCTAAGAGCCAATATGTTAACTACACAACTTTAATCTCTATTAAATGCTTTCATATATATATATACTGTGAGATACTGTATGTGTGTGTGTGTGTATATATATATATATAAAATGTGTGTGTATATGCATGTGTGTGTGTGTGGCTGTTTTCTAAGAGCCAATATGTTAACTACACTACTTTAATCTCTATTAAATGCTTTCTAAATTGTGCTGCATTTTGTACCTGTGTGTGTGGAAATTATTTATTAGCCTACAACGTAACTTAATCCATTGTTCAACCTGAAAACAACTATTTTGCTTAACTCATTATTTTGTGTAATTTAGTGTGGTATGTTTTTGGGCAAGACAACTTCATTAGCTTTAAAGTATCTTCTTGTGCAGTGTTTGCAGTATTCTGGCAGTACTGTGCATACTAAAAAAAAAAGGTGAAGTCACATTCATTTTATTGGTGTGTCTGGATTTGACCAAAAGAGGGCGCAGTCTCCTAACACGAGTCTGAGTGGACCGGTTTGTTCTGATTGTAACATTAATGGACGAAATGAGCTAATAGTAATTTTATGACATTAACATAGACTAAAGCTACAAGAAAATAAGTTAGCGTATAAATGCAACATTTGATGCATTTTAATTAGCCTAATTAATTTATTTTTATTATTGCTATTATTATTTTTTACAAAATTCACAATAATATGGAGTACCGCAGTAGTTATGTCTGGCTGAAAATAGAAAATTAAGAGATGAAGTTTTATGTCTGTGTGAGAGAGTTTATAGGCCTATATGAGTGTGCATGTTTATATTGGCAGTAAAACCACAATATGCATTTAAATAATGTACTGCAGTAACCATAGTTTCAGCCAAGTGAACACAATGCCACTAATATTTAAAAAAAAAAAAAAGTATTCATAACTATTTATAATGCGTGGCAAAATGTTTTGTGTATTTTTTTTTCATGTAACATTTCACTGTAGATATGTTGTGGTTAGTCTATTTTTCAGACGCTTAATTGGCCTGTAGCTGTCCGATTTTTAAATGTATTATCTCAGAGGTGACTGTTGTTGAATGTGTAAATAATATGATTTTGGTGGAACAAAAATAAAAATCTATTAGCGTTGAATCCCAGTGTCTAAATGTACAATTTGTTATTTATAGTTATTTAGATTAATATATATATATATAAAAAGCAGGCACGATATAACAATTTATTTAGGGTTTGAAGCGACATAAATGGATAGCAAAAAAGTGATCCTTAATTAAATGTAATGTTATATTATGTAGACATGTGTGCGCGCATGTTTCGTGACCGCGCTCGCGTGCACGAGCGGCGCTGGAATGGCCGGTGAGCGCGCGCACGTGACTGTGAGGGAGGCGGGAAGAACGCAGTCGCTGAGGAGGTTTTAATGTCCGCCATGTTGTGAATGGCGCACTGAGGCAGCGAGAGAAAACACACACACACCCGCCTCTGCTTCTCCTCGCTGGAGCTCTTCTATTCCATTATTTTTTCTCATTCTCCAACTCCATCCACCCTCCTCCATGAGATCTGTGGCGGTTTTATGGGTGATTGTGAGGGGATCGGACAGATTTATAGAGTAAAATGAGTAAACTGTCGTTCAGGGCGCGGGCGCTGGACGCTCTCAAACCGCTGCCCGTTTTCCGCTGCGAGGATCTGCCAGACCTGCACGAGTACGCGTCCATCAACCGCGCCGTGCCGCAGATGCCCACCGGCATGGAGAAGGACGAGGAATCGGTACGAGTTTTACCATGCAACCGCCGACTTTGTGCGATACGAAAGTTGTTTTCTGTTTGTTTGTTTTTTCTGTCAATCTGCGCAGCTTTGGATGCAGCAAAATGGCCGACTGTGCGTGAAGCGTTTTACACGGTGTTTTGGAGCCGTTTTGCTGTGTGCACCGAATTTGACGAATGGTATATACAGTTGGATTTATTTGATGGCGGTTTGGGGTGTGAAAGTCGAGTTTTGTCAATCCGTTCGGACCCGAATCGTGCAGCAAAACACAAAAGGAGTCATGTGACCGCGGAGGCGCCGACATTTTGTTGGACTTTGTCCTGCAGTGGCTGCAAACGGCAGCCAGAGGGCTGTCATGGGAAACCTGGAAATATCTGAGAGGAATAGTTTGCCCAAAAATGTAAATTCTGTTATTTACTCACCTTCATGTTGTCCTATAAGACTGATTTTCTTCTTCTTGGTCGCCATTCACTTCCATGCTGTTTTCATACAACTAGAGTGAACGGTGACCGAGCTGTCATGTCCTTGCGCTCTTCTCAAGAAATTGAATCATGCAGTGTTTGAACAACATGGATAATGACAGAATTTCATATTTTGAGTGAATTATTCCTTTAATATTTGCCACCCCTTTTTTTTTTTTTTTCCCCCCCACACCTGGAAATTCATGGGCATTTCTGTGTAGAGAACCCACGTAGTGATGCTTGTAAAATGTTTTCTCGCCTAGACTTTGCTTTCTATGAATGCAGAGTTTATGCAGTTTTGTAAAAAATCCTTGAATGTAATCATGAATGAAAGGGACATGCATTGGTCTAAAGGTGCAGGAACCTTGGAGAGCGAGGCTGAGCTGAAGGCCCCTTAATGAGATGCTGCCGTCTGAATTCTTATTAGGGCCCTTGGGCCGCTAGTATCAATGACCGCTTTCCCATGCACCAAAATATTTAATTTTTATCCTAGTCATTTCAGTTATGTAAGTGTCATGTAAACTTTATTGCCTCAATCAGAATAATCCAACAATCTTGTTTTATGAATCAAAATAAGACAAACATGCAGATTTTAATTGGAATTTTGATCAACACCTTCCATTTTACAAACATGAAAAGAAACGGCCTATATTTTCAATTCATTGCATTCTTTTGCGTTACTCTAAAGCAGTGTTTCCCAACCTTTTTTTCTAGTCGCGGTACCCTTTGGAAATTTTAACAAACTTGTGGCACCTTACAATATTTAAATTTCTAACTTCGATATGATAATTTGAAAAGTATAGCTACTCGGTACAACAGGGAAGAACTGCAGAATATAATGTCATACAGATTTTTTATATTATTAAAAAATGGTCCATCAATGGTGATAATCAGTAGGCTAATTTCTAATAAAGAGAGACCAATTTATGACCGATTTTAATGTAGGCTTTTATACATATGTAAACATTATTTAATTACCATTATAGCTAGCCATCTCACAATTTTTTGCTCACTCAGTGTTTTTTATTTTTAATTTTTTTTTACAATGGGATAATTGTGGTCCAGTAGCACACGAGAACTTGATTTCAAACTTTGAATTGAATAAAAAAATGACAAGTAAGCAGTCAGTAATAAAATAAAAACAAATAAAGCAATTAATGATGGCACAAATAAAAAATAACGACAGGCCTTCGAATTAAATAAATTGCTTTTTAGTTTTTCAGGTAGTTTTTTTTTTTTTACCAATTATCCAAATGTTTAGTCCTAGAAAGCTATTATTATCAGAACACGTGAGCATAACATAGCGGTTAGCAGATCAATGAATGAGAGGGCAGCGTTACCAGAGTTGCCCATATACCACATGTTACAACACAGTAGGGCTATTGCAGACAGAAACAATACTGTACTACATCCATGTTTCCTGTCGGCTCAATTTTTGAGTGGACTTTGCTGTTCCGATTCGCATGAACGGTATACGAGTGGAGCGACTGAGCGGAGCGCACACGCATAGAGCGGGATAATACACAGAGCGTCACACCACGTGAAATTGAATCCTGAGCGGTGAACTAATTTTCGGCAGCCGGAATTTCGGTGCATCTCTAATTATTGGCGACATCAGAAATGGATATTATATAATAGATGCTCGTTTAAAAATTTTAGCAATTTAAAAATATAAAAAAAAAAAGATATTTTTTACACGGCACCCCGGTTGGGAAACACTGCTCTAAAGGACGTTAATGAGAATTATGGAGATCATTGCATTACTGAGTGAACATCTTAAATAATTCCAGAAGAGATGGCTCTTGGCTTCTAGATTTTACGCTGGTTTCATGTAGGGCTGCACGATTAATCGAATGCGATTGTCATGCGCATTTTGTTAGTAAAGCCGGTTCTGTAATCAGCAGGAAATCATCATCACGTGCTTTCAGATGGAGCTGAATTTACTACAACTAGCCGTAGTTCACTGACAAGTTACGCAAAAAAATGACAGCTGTTTGCATAGCTTCTCAGTGAACTACAGCTCTGTGAAGTAAATGCTGCTCCATCTGAAAGCATGTGAAAATATCACATTTAATTACATATTGTTACTCCACTTCATAACGTCAGTCGAGTGTTTGAAATAAATCCTTTGGTGAGATGATGTGGCTTCTTACACAGAATAAGGCACGCAACATATTTTGTAGTATTTAAGCAGTGATAAAGGCATTGCATTATAAATATACTTTATTTTAATAAATTATAATAAGAACTCGGATAAATCGTATATTGCCGTAGTCGTGTGTTGAATCTTCTGTTTATTCAGCTACAGCGATAGGCATTTTCTGGGTTTCTTCTGCGAGGCGTATTAGAAGTTTCAGCGCGAGAGCGCCCTCTGGCCTTTGGATGGAGATTTACTGCTGATCACAGAACCGTGCTTCACTGAAAGATACACATGACAATCGCAGCTTGTGTCGAATCGCGATCTCGATTCCATTTCGATTCATCGTGCAGCCCTAGTTTCATGTATCCTTTATTAGTTTTAACCAGAACATTAGAAAATGTGCATGTAAACATGGTCAAAGACAGCAGCATGTCAAGTGTCTCTCTTGTGGAGGTTCATGAGTGGTGCTTGTTTACTGTTTGAGCCCGTTCTTATTAAAATTGTATGCGGTGTTTGAAGAATTCAATTTATGCAAGACTTCTTAATAGAAATTCAAGGTGAGCCTGAGGCCCCTGTGAAAGATGAAGTATGCATGCTTGAGGCGAATCTTAAGGGTGTCGAGTCTTTTCACTAATGTCCTCTTATTGAAGTGAAGCCTTGTTTTAAGTGTGACCATCATAGTCCCTGCCTAAATATCAGTAACTGCTTGTACCACCAAACGACTCTGATATAGAATAAAGGTGGAGAGTCTGTTCCACGTTGCTTTTAAAGTTCAAATTGTGTATTATTTGAGGTTGAATTGTATGCATTTTCTGTACACGTAAACCTATAGTCTAAATACTGGGGGTCCGAGTGACCTCTGGCTCTGTTTTTAACAGGCCCCAGTGATTCTTGGGGGGGAGGGAAACCAAGTCATTTGGTTTGGTTTTGGTGTCATTTGTGTTGTATTTTGCTGGATGTTTGCAGCACAAGGTTGTCAGATGGCTGCAGGCCATGTTACATTTAAGATTTCTTGTTCGTTTTAAGATTGAATTTGTTCAAATTTTGTGTGACAAACAGTCAATTTTCTCTGACAGAAAAGGACTTGGATGTGGGTAACTGGTTAAAGCTCTGATCACAGTTTGTTTGGAATGTTGCAGAGAGGTTTTCTCCTGGTGGTTAAGCGTTTTGTCATCTATAATGGCTGGTTTATTTCAGGGGTCAAACGTTTTACAGTTCCCCATAGATCTTTTTCAAGCACTGGGAACTCTATGCCCACAAATAACTCTATAATTGTGCTTTCATTAGCGAGTGTACTGATATGCAGCATTTTCAAAGGTTACCAAGTAAATAGTTTGTATTAGTTGAGTTCCTTTGAATCCTCTTGAAACATTCTGTGCAAAATAGCTGTAAATAAATAAGCATGGGAAATTGATTTATATTGGCTGTTTGTGGATGCTAAATTCCAGTTGTGTTTTATTTAACTGAAATAGTGCTAGGTTATGAAATGATTTATGAGCACAAATTTTGCGTTCCTATCTTTTAGGGGGGTTAAACTTGATGTATAGGGCAACTATTGATCTCCAAATTAATAGTTATACAAATTTGCTCTACACGAATGTTGTAATGCACACATTCGCTTAAGCAGCACAATGTGGATTTGACATTTTTTTAAATTATGGAAATAAAAATAATTGCTGCTGCTCAAGGGTTAATTAAGGGTTGAACATGTTCTTATGCTCCCCAAGGCTGCATTTAGGCTATTTGATTAAAAAAAAAAAAAAAACAAGGCAAAACAGTTAGGCTACGTTGTGAAATATTACAATTTGATGTTGTATTTGAATATATTTTAAAATTCTGTTTCTTCCAGTGATGGCAAATCTGAAATTTTAGCATCATTACTACAGTATTCAGTATTGCATGATCCTTCAGAAATTATTCTAATATGCCGATTTGCTGCTCTTTGCTTTTTATAAAATATGTGTGTATGTATACATACATACATACATACATACACACACACTAGTTTGTTTGAGTTTCCCTCTTTTCTTCGCTTTCAAATGGCTTGTAAAAGTGCCGTGCGCATTGTACTTTCAAATTAGCGGCAACTGAATTGCCGCAATTCGGCGTCAAGCAATTGTTAATTTGAGTTTTCCCTCTTTTCTTTGGATTTCTTTGCTTTCAAATAGCTTAAAGCGCCATGCGCGTTTTACTCTCACTTTCAAATTAGTAGCAATTCGGCGTTGATTCAATTCAAGCAACAACAAAGTCAAACTCAGAACTTTTATTAAAGGGGTCGTATGATGCGATTTCAAGTTTTCCTTTCTCTTTGGAGTGTTACAAGTTGATTGTGCATAGATGAGATCCCTGAAGTTGCAAAGACTAAAGTCTCAAAACCAAAGAGATATTCTTTATCAAAGTTA